TGCCCATAGGGCCGGTCTACAGCTGGTCCATCGGGCCTCACAGCATTTAAATATATATTTAGCTTTATTAAAGATACATTATGGGAGATTTTCATAGAGAGTTGGCCATTCTTGCTATAACAGATCAAAAACAGATGATAAAAGAAGAATATATTGAAAACTTCAGTCAAATTACTTTATTCTGAACAAAGTTATCACCATTGTAATTTTTGACTAGAAATAGGAGTCAACACTCTCTTCACCGTCTCCGCGAATGGGCGATCGTTTGATTGACAGGCGTTAACTCCACCTACATAATCTCGATTATCAAGTAACGTTTTCAATGGGTGTGGTTTGAGACGAGGTTGCAATTCAATTCGTATCACATCTATTTTTACTACAAATTAAAAATAAGACTTTTAATATATAGATAAGAAGCGAAAGTTTGAAAGAAATGGACCAAATCAATGAGGCATAATTATAGCCGACTTTTTGTTAGCCTGAGTGTACACTTGTACTGTAACTGGTAGGCCTACGTAACTCCCGAACAGTGAACCAATGGAGCTGCAATTCAACTGGGGTGATGTTAGCTGCGATGTTTATCAATTTCTATAATTTTTCTGTAAACGCAAGTGACAAAAGAGCGTATAATACCGACATCCAAACTCTCATTTTAACCACAACTAAACATAATATATATCGAACTTTCAATCAAATTGACTGACATGCGGCCTCGCTCAACAGCGGCCTCGTTTCGTACAATCTATCATTTAGCCTCGATCTAAAATTATTTCCGGGAGTATGACGTCAACGTAACGGTTAATCTCCGCTTACAAATATGGTGGTTGAAAGCGTCCATTTAGATCGGCGTGTTTCTAGATACAACGCGAGAGTCGCCGTTAAGCCAGCACGACGAAAAAGGCGCCGATCGGCGACTTTTTCGTCGTACTACCTTATCGGCGACCCGCGACTTTCACAACACGAGAGTCGCCGTTAAGCAAGTCGCCGAAAAAGTCGCCGAAAAAATCGGCGCCTTTTTCGGCGACTTGCTTAACGGCGACTCTCGCCTCGGAAGTTTATAGTTAGTTACATGCGCAATGCGCAATAGCTACATTTTACTTCTTGTATATAAAATGGAGGAGCTTTTGGATGAGTTAGGACTTGTAGGCTAGCCTACTTTCTGCCACAGATGGAGCAACAGGTGGCAAACTCTTGCACAAAAGCATGTATGAGGTTTACCATGAAAAACTTGAAATACACAAGCTGGAAGTAGGGACAAGTAAACATGCAATTTTCGGCCCTACATTTCAACCTAACCGACCTCTCAAAATCATGAATATTCACCAAAACCTGGCAGAAAATGTATTATCAAACCCCTTTCTCGTGTTGTGAAAGTCGCGGGTCGCCGATCGGCGCCTTTTTCGTCGTGCTGGCTTAACGGCGATTCTCGCGTTGTATCTAGAAACCCGCCGATCTAAATGGACGCTTTCAGCCACCATATACAACGCCATTTAAAAATTTTAATCAATCAACGAAATCCTGTTTAAATCCAAGCCGAATCCAAGCCATCCGTGGGTCTACAGAGCTGATTTTGTGCTTGTTGTGTAAATAAAGATCTAATTTATAATTTCTATGACATCTGAATCCTAAATAAAGACTTGCAATAATCAGATTTAGCTCTTGCATAATGTATGTTTAACTCTGAAGTAGCCGATTAATGCGGGTTTTTTTTTTCAAATTTATGTGACTTTTTCTTTGCGAATTGATTAATATATCCTTTTTATAAATGACAAAAAGATTTTAAATTACAACTGGTCGGTGAAATGATATATGTTTTCAGAAAATCGTGGTCGATGTGAGGTTTGTTCTAAGAAAAACATCAAATCTTGCCATCAGAGTAAATGTGTTACATGTAATGTATTCTTATACTGTAATAAATCAAGAAATTGTTTTCTAGATTTTCATGGTGCGGTTGGAAATTAACTACATGTATACATTTGTATTTCAAGTTAAAACTGTTTACGCCTTTAGCTGAATGAATTTAACTATGGCTTATTGTTTCAAATTGTTGAGAAAATATAGTTTTCTTTGTTTCAATTTTCTGTTTAGTGTTGCGGATTAAAGTTGTGATGAAAATACAGATTTCAAGAATAATTTAAACTTTTTTGTCTTTTTGTATTGAAAATAATTTACCCCTTTGCCGTCCGTGAGGACTTTCAATCCCCACCCCCACCCGCCTCAGCAAAATTTATAAAACTTAAAAATAATTTTGTGGATACCCTAACCAAACCCAAATCATCTATAAAATATCATAAAACAAGAAATTATTTTAAAACTTAACCACTTGGGCCCGAAAGGGTTATATTATCGAGGGGGGCTGGATGGCCGAATGGTTAGCACGTGCGCGCCGTATCATAAAGCCTGACATTGAGTCAACTGGCGTGGTTTCGAATCCCCGGCTGTGCGTGACAAGGAGTAGGGTTGCCTGTCCAACCTCGTGGGTTTTCTCCGGGTCCTCCAGTTTCCTCCCACTGCTAAAGACCCCTACGCGCAAGCGAATTATTGAATTAAAAAAAACCACGTTAGTCCCGAAATGACCTAGTTTGTGTCGAGTGGACGTTAAACCTCATTTCTCTCTCTCTCCCGTTATATTATCGTACGAGCGTAGATCAATAACATAAAGGGTTGAATCATTTCGAGTTCGGTGCATAAATATTTCATATGTAGGCCTATAAAATATAGTCTTAATATGATACAAGTTATGGAGCACTTTGTCAAAAAAGGATGGTTTTATAGGTCAGACTCGAGTAAAGCGGAAATCAAATGGGGTTTAACATCCTACTTGTCTGCATCGACAGGGCTAATGAAACCAATACAGTGTGCCATAAGGAAATTTTGCCCAGACTCTTTATTTTATATAATTGTTCTACAATTTGCGGTTTTCATCATACATTTTTGGCAGATAAAACATTCCAGATGGCGAAGAAGAAATTTCAGTAACTTCTTTATATAAAAAGTGCGAGCCCTGGGCCCGGTTCCTAGAAAATTCTTAAAGTAAGCACAAAGTCATGTTTCACTTTTTCTTACGTAAGAAACTTATAAAAATACCGTCCCTAGAAAATTCTCAAGACCATTCTTACGTAAGCACAAGTCAAGTATAAGTCTAAGCACATTGTGACTGGTAAAGTTTACCATAAACTGAGACTATGATGCTCTTTAACGTCATAAAAACAACCTTGGTATGCGAATTACGTCATAAATTTGTCGTCTGCTTCATTGACATCATATATATGTAGCACATATGGTTGATTTAGATGCATTTGACATGTCCCCTAGGCTATACACATATAAAATGTGCCACAAGATAAAAAACGCAGGCACATACAAACTAACTGAATAATTGTGAGAGTGCCTGATCGTAGCCTGTGTGTTTGTAGCCTATTGTTTACTAATTGGCAAATAAATAAAATGGTTTCAGGGTAGGCCTAGAAGCGAAATTTTCTATAACATTCTTAATTTGAAATTTCTTCTCGAGATGGATTTTCTGTCTTGTAATTGTCTCTTTGGTATCAAAAGGTGTCGGAAATGCCGTCGAATAACTCTACGGTCAGACCCCTTTTTGAAGCAGAAACAGACTTAAGGTTGGTAAGCAAGCCGTATACTTTGCTTGGGACTTGTGCTTAGATTGACTATGTTCAAGAACGAAGTTGTGCTTAAGTTTTTTCTTGGAACGCATAATAATAATAACGTTCTTGTGCTTACGATGAAGTCTACTTAAAATCTAAGCACAAGAACGTTCTTAAGAATTTTCTGGGAACACAAAATAAGGTAAGTTTACTTAAATGCAAAAGTCTACTTAAATCTAAGCACAAGAACGTGCTTAAGAATTTTCTAGGAATCGGGCCCAGAACTCGAGTAATGCGGTAACAGTATTAATGGACGGCGCTGTTGGTCCGAGACCTTTAAGAGACGGTTAGAAAAACTGAAGTCCGAAAATTCAACAAAATCTCAAGATGGGACGTTATTCCATATTATATAGAATCTACTCCCAAAATCAAAGGAAAATGACATAAGTTTGTATTGTACTATACAACCAAACATAATTTATTATGTGGAATTCTTAAATTAAAATACAGTGCCGGATTTAACTACACGTATAGGCTTAGCTCCGACCGACATCAAAGAATATACGACATGTATTACAGTAGCCTATATGTCTGAAATTGTAATAAGTCTTTTTTAAAGCACTGGAGTCTTAAACATCCATCGCCAAACTCGTTTGTTCACATGTCTTTAAAACAATCATAAGTGGAATAGCCTGGAGCATCTCTTCATCTAATTCTAAATCGGTACTTCAAATGCTTTACTCACCAAACTAAAAAAAAAATTGTTTGAAGGGAAACAACTCCATTTTAGTTTCCATTCTGATAGAAATGAAATGGGTTTTACATGTTTTGTAACTCCAGCTGTTCTGCTCCGAGTGGGCAAAAGATGACGGGCATACGTCGTACAGTGTGCTATGAGGGAAATTTTGCCCTGACAGTGGCAATAAGGCCTTCTCTTATATCGAATTCTGACTGCCAAGGGACCTTTTACGTGCATGGCAATGTGTACATAGGACCTATTGAAACGACTAGACAGCTGTCCTTGTCAGGCCCTCCGTCTTGCACCATTGAAAAGGTAAAACACACCTGAAAATAGTAATGAACTGTCTCGGCCAACACCAGGCGCAACCCTTGACACCCAGGCAAGTGAGCCAGCGTCTTACCCACTTAGCCACCATGGCTCCCCATTCTGATAGCAAATACATTGTACAATGTGCAAATGCAAAAAGAAAGAGATTATATATGCTACAAGAAGTTGCATAAAACAGTTACATCTAACTAAATCAACTCCTTACTAAGGTACAGATGATCAGAAAATATTTTAATAATAATAATCATTTTCTACAAGGCTAAACGTTCAGTCAGTTTTACTGGTCTATGACTCGACAACATTTGGATAAATAATTAAAACAAGTATGAAAAAGTAGTTTTAAAGTACAAAACAAATTTTAACATAGTCTACATTTGACATATGTCATGAAATCACATAATGAAATGAATTGAAATGGTGTTTAACGTCCTACTGTTTTGCTCTGAACTGGGCTAAGGAAGACGGGCATACGCCATACAGTGTGCTATGAGGGAAATTTACCCAGAAAGCGGCACTACGGCCCACACTTATATCGAATTCCAACTGTCAAGGGATCTTTTACGTGCATGTCAATGTGTACACGGGACCTCAGTTTTTCGTCCCATCCGAACGACTAGACAGTTGTCCTTGTCAGGCCCTCCGTCCTGCATCACTGACAAGGGAGAACCACAATCACATAATGAAAACGAACATTAATCACAAGTAAAAATATGGCATTTAGTATCACTAAAATAAAGTTCCTGATTTTAATGCAAAAAAAGATGATCAGAAAATAACACACCAAGGTTTTGAACACTCCACAATGCTTCAACAACCAAGAGTACAGGATCCAAGCTCGGATGCACAAAATAATTACTCAACAAACACTTTGGTTATCCCACTCTCCAAAAACACTCTCTTTAAGTTAATAATAAATATATTCATTCGATATAGAATAAAATTCTTATTTTCATATCATTTTGTCATATATTTAAATAGTTAATCCTGCAAATTAACATTTTGTGTACATTTGGATAGGCCTTCGAAAACCTTTCGATTTATGGTGCACAACATCGATGAGCTCACACTTCGAGAAACCAACCACATCTAAAAGGTACTTTTGAAAATGTTCAGGCTTGAGTTCAATGTTTTGAAAATTATTCTGAATGGTTAATGTCAGGTTTTTCCTTTTTTTGTAAGATGTCCATGGCTGTGGTTCCAATATCAGTCGACCCCCTGGCCGCAGATGTCGGAATATTCTCTGAAAAAACATTTTGATACCGGTATCACCATTGTTAAGATGTATCCACTTTGTCACACTTAGAGCAAGTATAGTATCATACTCCTCTTGCACTAGGCTTAACTGTTTGCTGTTATTTAAGACATAGTTTCCCTGTTTAAAAGATAAGTTTTCAGGGAATGAGATACAGGTATCACTCAACACACCACTATTGATGGGTGATGCCACCACATTAGCAGAGCAAGGTACACTTAGGCCTACCATGTTTTCATTTTCTGATACATCTATATAATTTTCTTTTTTGACATCGATATAATATTTGATATTTTTTCTGGCTGTTGATATTAAATTACTATCAATGTCCAAACCAACCATTCGCGTAGGAAGAAATTGTTTAGCAATCGTCATTGTTACATGGCCAACATTGCAACCAATATCAAGAACATCCTTCGCATTAAACCACTCTCTTTTGAAACTCAGCAGACGAATGTCTTCTTCTCCCGACTCGGGTTTATTTCTATATCCATAATACCTATTATAATTTCCATGAATAAACTTTGGTTTATGTTTTTCTTTCCTTATTCTTGGTTTTATAAAATCACTTGGTTTTCCATTATCTTGATTTGTTGATGGTTGAGTGATGGCGACCAATTGTTCAACTGTTTCCATGGTTTCATGGCTTGTTGGGGTGATTTCTGGTGCCGCTGTTGTTCGGGATATTTGCATAGTCTTATCGACCATCTTAAATTCTATTACTGTCTGTAAAGATAAACAAAAAAACTGTTGATTTCTTCAGTGACATTGAATTCTTAATACATTTCTCACTTATCCATATTAAATCATGAGGATTGTATATCTAATTTCATGTAGTGGTCCAGATTTGGTCGAAATCAAAGCATTGGTATCAATAATTGATTTTGTATGAATAAAGGACCTAGTGGTTGTTAATTTCAAACTCAACTGGTGTTAACGTTGTTATTAACAGAAATAGAAATGGTCTCGTGTAATTTCACTATTATTATTATTTGTTGTGGGGGGAATCAATATCGTTATTTGGGGGAAAGTATTATTATTGGATGGGAATATAAATATGAGTATATGTAAAAAAAAAAAAAATCATTCAACTTTAACTAAAAATGAAATGAATATATCTACAACAAAGTTTAACCAGCACCCAGTGGTAGAATCTAGTACTAAGTAGGCTTGATTAGTCTGCATATATAGATAGATGGGTCTAGTCCTATTACGCTACTTTTTAATTACCATTCCACTTACGTTGAGCTATTCCTTGAGTTGACATCTTGATAGCTAATTTTTACTCGGATACTAATCCACACAACAATTTCATTGCGGCAATGAATATAGTAAGTAAAACGTTATCACGTCGTCGTACTAGTAAAACGTACTCGTTTAAGTTAAATAGAGTTACCTCCCATGCAGCAAGAAAACAAGTGGTCGTAGCCTCGGTTGTCCAATATACAAATTTAAAGAAAATCGTCTGCTGTCGTGAGTTATTTCCATTCATTCATAAATCGGTAATTAAATTGATAGAAAAATGAAGACAAAGTTGTAATGGCTCATATAGTTTGAGAATTATCAGGACAGAATATTTGTCATTATTAAGAAACAAATCTCAAGCCTTCAGAAATCATGGACCTTATTATAAGGTCCATGCAGAAATCCAATGCTGCGTGAGATAGACGTCACGTGACTTCATTCAGAATGAACCAGGTCGGAGAAAAAGACCGGTGGCTGTGAAGTATTATTAAGAGTTTCACGAAATAACGGTTGATCTCAAAACTTGAGTTTGAGGACAGCACACAGTGAGGGTCATTATTTCCTAGTATTAAAGGTGAGCCACTGCACGATTTCATTCTTTTTTTCTGTAAAGGTATACTGTAGTAGTACGGTACCGCGTACCGTAACGCGGTTAGTGCCAAACATGATGATACCGTACTACTCTTAAAAGTTGCACGAATCCATAGGCAAGGTAATTTCCACTTTTGACCTTTTTTTTACCGTTCTCCATAAATTTGTGAGTACTGTAGTTTAGAAATTGTTTTAATGAAATAATATAAAGAAGACGTATATTTAGTGATAACCAACATAGTGCCATACGGTTACATAATAGGAACCAGAACATTACATAACTAGTAGCTTGATTAAGGTTTATTATGTTAAGTACAGTAGTTATATAAATTAGAAAACTTGCTTTATGAAAGAGTCCACTTGTACATCTAATAATTTTGATTTTTATCACACAAATTTTTAGTGCTATGAAATTCTGTATTAATTTATTGGGTTCAAGAATGTACGGTAGCAGAAAGGTTGGCACATTCTGATGTGTAGCCTATGTTTTAGCAATTTTGATTACACGATTTACTGTGACCTATGTTTGATCTATAATTACAATTGAAACAGAAGGCTATCTGCACTGCAATTCATGTATGTGTCTGATAAAGGTGATCCAAATGTCTAAACTTCTGGAGGGAGATTGTATGGCCGAATGGTTAGCACATGCACACTGTATCATAAGGTCTGTCATTGATAGGGTGACCCACGCACCTACAGAAATACAGTCAACCGCTGATAGTTCGAGACTACCACTGAAGCGTGCACATTCGCCGTGTCGAGGCCAACTTTCTGACAGTATGATACTATAAATAGCCATGGCACGTGCAATTCTCTACAAATCTATCAACTATTACAGCCGTAAAAAAATTATTGTTGACGATTTTGAATAGCAGTAAAATTAAGCTTCTTGTTTATTACAGCAGATTTAGAAATTACGTTCGTTTCATTTTTGAAATCGCTTTATCATTAACTGTACCGTTAAGAGCGGCATCTTTTGGTTTAGTACAAATAATATCTCAGAAACACTCGGGTTAGACAGGAACATGATACTAGCAGTAGTTTCATTTTACTTTTACAAGCTTCTTAAAACAATTGTTGAGCTAGCTAACGTGCTCATTTCTAAATTCAATTTCTTGTTCTAGCTTTCTGTTATGTTTCGTAAAAAAGTAGTCTTGATTATCCCGACCTGTCAATCAGCCCTAGAATGGTCGATAGACTGGTTAAGCGAGACTAATTTCAAAACAAGGGCACGTAACCTATCTTTTACTCAAAAGTGTCTGGATGTTATGGACGACACATGGAACCAGTTTTCAGTCTATTATTTATAGATGATTAATGGTCATAGCTTATTAAGTACAACATGATCGTTTATTTAGTGACTATAATTGTGTGAAACTGATTTGAGGCTTGGCATATATATAAATATTGTGGCGAAATTGTCGAGATATATGGAGATATTTATTTATGGTGGGTCACCCTTGCATTGAGTCAACTGGCGTGGTTTTGAATCCCTGGTTGTACGTGACTAGGAGTAGGGTCACCTCTCCAACCTTGTGGGTTTTCTCCGGGTCCTCCGGTTTCCTCCCACTGCTAAAGACCCCTATGCGCAAACGAATTATTGAAATAAAATTAAACCATATGTTAGTCCCGAAATGACCTAGTTTGTGTCAAGCGGACGTTAAACCCCATTTTTTTTTTCTCTCTCTCTCTCTCTCTCTCTCTCTCTCTCTCTCTCTCTCTCTCACTTCACTGATCATTTTAATAGGATATTGTACAGATGATATAACTGTATGTTGGGGATATTAATGAAGATTAGTATAATAGCCATTATCCTATAATTGAATACCAGAACGTTGACGTACTGTTTAATAACAAGCATATTTGTGGTAAAATTAGCTTTATATTTTAACTTCAGGGTGATAATAATGTAATACTTAACTCCAGGGTGACAATAATGTAATATTTTAACTATACGATGATGGTGATATTAGTGGAATATGTTTTAATATGTAATACTTAACTCCAGGGTGACAATAATGTAATATTTTAACTATAGGATGATGGTGATATTAGTGGAATATGTTTTAACTGCATGGTTATAGTTAGGCTGACCTTAAAAATATCTTTGTTTCGCCTAACGCGTCCGACTAACTAAAACCACCCCCGACTTAAATTATTTTATTGCACTTTTCCGCGATCTTTTTATTTTATTTTGTGTGTCAACCTGAAATATATCACGAGAGTTATTTCCCTTTACTATGGCTATGGTTTGATTCATTATTGAAACTGGTTGATCAAGACGAAAGCATCATAGGTGTCGCTTCTCAAAAAAATGGTTGTAGACGAAAGCACGTCCATTCCCACGAAATGATTGTGCCTCTATTTTTCTCGAAAACGGATATTGAATATCCGTTTTCGAGAAAAATGAAGGCACAACCCGCACGATCGTTAAAAAACGTGTTGAGGGAGTTTCAAACGTCAGTTTCTGGCAATTCGTGTGCGAGTCGTGCATCACGAAAAATCCCGATGTCATTGATTTGTTTGACAATAAAAGAAGAGGAATGTTTGCACCCAGAAAATTATCAAGCTGTCAAATTAGCTCTTAAAAAAATATCTGAAAAAAACCCCGACCTACCGACCCTTCTCCTCGATTGTGGGTCGGGTTTGGTGAAACAAAGATATTTTTAAGGTCAGCCTTATGTAACATTTTAACTATAAAGTGATGGTGATATTAGTCGAAAATGGTATTTTAACTGCAGGGTTATTGAAATAAAATTAAACCATATGTTAGTCCCGAAATGACCTAGTTTGTGTCGAGTGGACGTTTAACCCCATTTCTCTCTCTCTCTCTGGATATGGAAGAGTCAATCACAGTTCAGGCAAATACAATTCCAGGTTTATGGGTAAGAGATAGGATCCTAATAGTGAAAAGATATTGCTACAAACACAATGTTGTCCTGTCTACTTGACAAAGACTGGACGCCCTGATGAACAATTTGAAAGGATAATTATGCTGTTTTGGAGGTTCAAAGATGAGTTAAACTGATAATAGTTGGATTTGAATGGAATATTAGAATAGAGGCAACACTGATTTGTGGCTGTGTTGGTCATTATTTGCCGTATTATAGACCAAAATGATACCCGATCTCTTTTATCAGATTGCTTACAAGGGTCCCCATGTTTTGTTGAAAAAAACATAAAGATGATTTGTACTTTTCACAATGGTGCTATTCAGTTGATAGTTTTCATTATAGATGGTATATGTATGTGATCTTACCATGCTTTTTTTTTTTTTGCTTACTCATAATCAAAGTACAGCAGTTAAGGGTCCTTAAGAGCATACCATGGTGTTTGTACGTAGTCCCCTGAAAAATTACTAAAAGAGTTTTCCTTTGCCGTGCTCTCTGTCCTGCATAGAGAAACCAGGCTGAAATAATCATGGATATGACTTTTACGAAATAAGATGTAGTAATTTTTGTGTCTTAATCCCGAAAGGGTTATTAATGATGTTTTCATTTAATTTAACAGATCACAAAGGTTTTTTGGGGTTTTTTGGGGTTTTTTTTTGAAGAATCAAATAAGATAACTGATTTAAAAGCTTGAGACTCATTCTTCTTTTTTGTGTACAAGTGCTTAACATTGTTCTTCAAATACTTAAAGATAGGTTCCCAGAAAAGTATTTACCGGGTGGTTATTTCCAATAAAAGTATGGCAATTTTGGTATATATGGAAATTAGAGATAACCAATCTTACTAGAAAAATACTGGATTCCCTGAAAAACACTCATGGAGCGTATACAGGACAAAAATGTAAGGGTTACCCTAATCGGCAGCCCAACGATTAGGAATTTCTGCACGCGTGACGTCAAAGGTTGCACGCAGAGATTGAGCGCTTGATGTACATGTTGATAAACTTTATGAAGAGTTAGACGTACAACACTTTCTGAGATAAAAATCAGGGAAAAAGACACAGGCAGTGGATAATCTGAGAATTTAATTAGGATTCGATATTTGTAATAAATAGTCAGCAATTAAAGACATCGTCTTGTGTATGCAATGAATTCTCCTCCGACTTCGCACCCGTAAGTCACGTGACACAAAAGTGACCTCTTTTGATCGATTTCTTATAGCAAGGGTATTCCTTGACAATTACAATGTTTTGAGAAGGATTTGAAGCAAATTAATGATAAATTAATTAGTTTGAATATGTTTTTAGGCCAAATATATCATCAAATCACCCAGTTTGTACACAGGAATGTATCTTTAAACATTGTACAACACATGCTTATGATACAACAAATGCTTGCCTAAACATTTGTAAAAGGTAAATCTACCTATTGCAGGTCTTTCTTTAGGCCTGAAATGTTATATGAACTGTTAATTAGACAATATAAGACTACAAGAGATGAGAGTGGTTATGAAGACCGGGTTATCCCGGGTGTCAGTGACTAGTTTCGTTCGTATTGAACTCTTCAGACTGATTGGACTAGCGTGGCGTAGCAGGCTTTTTTTATTTATACTATTCCAAAACTATTTGGTGCAAAATCAATTATAAAGTGATTAAACAAACTTTGCAATCATAAAATGTGATAATTCAGCCCAGCGTAGTTACTTGTATTGATAAACAAAGAGAACCTACAATATTTACTTGGAAATCAGAGATGTTGTTGAAACAAACATTGCAGTTTAAAGTTACAATTTCATATTTTTTAAGAAAGTCAAAACATAATTATTTCTATGTCTTTTGCTCAATAGGTTGTCAACTCACTATTATACGATCCTAGGTGTCATTCTCACACTTAAAACTCATTTTCACCGGAAATAATAACACAATTACCTCCCTGGTTTTCTATTCTCCACCATGGAGTAGCTATCTTCAAACTTTTGAATTTGAAGTTGAGAATGATATTTTTGCCAATTTCTCAACTGGCAATAGTGAATTGTATGGTTTAATAGGATTATTATTTAACAAGGTAGGACTGTTTATAGATACCATCTA